TGGACATCGACACATTTGTTCGTAGCGCAGTACGCTAACAACTCTGCATACATACATATATAAATACACACACACACGCACGGAAAAACACGCATACACACGTACAATAATCACATGCACGAATATAAATCCGAGTTTACTTGCACGGAGGCCGTTGGGGCAAGTGCTGTTAGCAAGCAGGAACCATTCACCACTCACAACCGAGGCCGGGAATGGAAGCCAGGTGGCCGGGAGTCGTGACGGAGCACGCTGACCGCAACCCTACCACCACACACACCGCAATAGGAGCCGTCCATAAATGACGTCACGCGATTTTCGACGATTTTTGACCCCCCCCCCTCGTCACACGGCGTCACAAAAAGTCAGACCCCCCCCCTCAAATATGACGTCACAAAGCTCTGCCCCACCCCCAAACCATATTTCCATTTTGAAAATAAAAAAACGCTTCAAATCGCTTTAAACTATTGTTATTGTCTTTTGATTTAAAGCTTCCGTGACTGCAGGGATTCATATTCTTGGTTCTTTCGGTAAAGTCACGTAGAAGGGAAACAATAATCCTGCGGCCTTTCACTGGAAAACCCACCTCTGCGGTACAAAATTCTACTCACCTGGTATCGACAATCAAGGGTATTTCCCTGTCCCCAGACGACCTGCTTGTCAGTTTTGATGTAGTTTCCTTATTCACAAAAGTTATCGTACCTGACAACATCGCAATCATGGAAGACTTGGTTCATCAAGGACTAAAAACTGAGGTACCCCCCCCCCCCCCCCTGGTGAGACACTGCTTAACCAATGCATACTTCACTTGGAATGGAACTTTCTACAAACAAACTGAGGGCACCCCAATGGGCTCCCCCTATCTCCGGTTGTAGCCAACATTTTCATGGAGAAATTTGAGACTGACGCCATTAAGACTGCCACTCTGCGCCCAACCTTATGGAAGAGGTACGTGGATGACACTTTTGTCATCTGGCCACATGGCCGGCCTGCTCTAGATTAATTCCTCGACCACATAAATTCCATACACCCAGCCATCAGATTTACCATGGAAGTAGAAATAGATGGCAAGTTACCTTTTTTGGATGTCCTAATAAAAAAGAGACCTGATGGTTCAATTATCACTCTGTCTACAGGAAAGCTACCCATACAGATGCTTACCTGAAACCGGATTCCCACCACCATCCATCCCAAAAGAATTCCCTCATCAAGACTCTGCACCATAGAGCCCAATGCATATCCGACCAGGAACATATAGCCAGTGAACTCAAGCACGTACACCAAGCTCTTAAGGCTAATGGTTATTTCGACTACACAATCCGCAAAGCTATCACTCCAACCATGAAGAAGGACCCTCTTGAGGTGCCTTTCAAAACCATCACTTTACCCTACATTGCGGGGATCACAAAAAAGATCTCCAAAATCTTGAATAAACACAAGATCTAGGTCCGATTCAACGCATTACATAAAATCCGTGATCTGGTTCCGTCTGTAAAATATGTGATTCCGGACATACAGTACCCTGACGTCTACAAACTAAGTTGCCTCTGTGGTAGTACTTACATTGGAGAAACCAAACGACATGTCTCGGACTGCATTCGTGAACACAAAGCAGACCTGAAACACGGTAGGACTAACACCTCGGCCGTGGCAGATTACAGTTATAATTCAGTAGGCTCACATGACATTTACTTCTCCAAGACAGAGGTTCTTTGCAAGCCATCTGGCTACCATGAGACGGATTCTGGCTTAGCAATCATTGGAAGGATTTGATCAACCATTTCGGGTCTTAATTGATTGATCACGCTTAAGGTGGCTTTCAGACCGCATCCATTATTTTTCGTCTCCCCCCTCCTCTTTTCCGAACATAGATGGACTCGTCCATCTGAACAAACTGTCAAATCGCTATCCGTGGTGCTAACGTTAAAAATAACCGCCATTTTTTTCAAAATTTCTTGTTGTGGTTTTCACACCTGATGATGATTGCTTGTGTTGCAGTCGAAACGTCGTGAGAATTTAATTGTTTTATATTTTTTTATTATTTTATTGTTTCTCTTCTACGTGACTTTACCAAAAGAACCAAGAATATTGTCATTGTCGTGCGTATTTAATGTGGCGCTGCACTCTGGTGTTGTAAGAGTGTTGTTATAACAATTAGTGTTGTTATAACAATGCTATATTTCTTTAAAGTTGCGCATTTTGATGTGACGTCACATCTCTCAACCCCCCCCCGTCACACATCGTCACAAATGTCTGACCCCCCCCCTCCCAGGTGCGTGACGTCATTTATGGACGGCCCCATAGGCACGCACAGAGAATTGACGTGGGTCTGAGGGAGCCAACTCCCTTCCGAGGCAGAGACCGCGCGTCCTTTGAAGACGACGTTACACTCCCGCTGTCGCCCATCTGCTGTCCCAATTAAGTCACTGCCCGGACGCACGGTGACCCCGGCGACCCGATCATTACCTCCTCTGCAGCGCGCGCAAAAGTGCTTTGGAATAAGTGGCGCGGCTGCGTAAAACCGCGCCCGTGCGCAGCTCGCTGCAGGAGCATCATCATCACCGCCACCACCACCACCACCATCATTAGGTAGCATCAGGCTCATCAGCCATTATCTAGCCACTGGTGGATATGTAATGACAGTGCGGAGCGATAGCGGGACAGTGTGGCTCCCTGGGACCATGGTTACTAATGGACGAGCTGATGAGGATCGGGCGGGGATAAATAGCAGCGTGAGCGGAGGCTTGGGGCTTGATTGGTATGGTGGAACTGTCGTCGCCTGGGATCGAGTCGTCTCTCCGTCGTCTGCAAGTTGTCTTGAGACTGGAAGCTGTGCTGTCTCAAAATAGAGTGGTGTCAATACCCAAGCGTATGCAGTCACTCTCGGCTACGTGTTGAATTGTCATTGAACTTCATTCTTAATAAACATACAGAAGACAAGACGGCGTCTCTGAGAGCTACATTACAGATAGGGGCCGTCCATAAACGACATCACGCGATTTTGGCCGATTTTTGACCCCCCCCCCCCTCGTCACACGGCGTCACAAAAAGTCAGACCCCCCTCAAATATGACGTCACAAAGCTCTGTCCCCCCCTCCCCCAAAACCATGTTACCATTTTGAAAATAAAACATGCTTTAAATTACTTTAAACTATCGTCATTGTAGTGCGTATTTAATGTGGCGCTGCACTCTGATGTTGTAAGAGAAAACACGTATTAAAAAGGAGGCGATGGAAAGCTGAAATTTAGCACAAAAATAACTAAAATTACTTTAAAATATTCAACGTCTAACTAAAACTGCAGATGTTCAGAATATTAGATTGAAATTCTCTTATACTTATTATATATTAAAAGTAATTATAACTATAAAAAAATACTTGAAACTTTGTAGTAGAACGAAAAAAAATGGAGAGTACAATTATAACAATCACATATTCATTCCACAGAATGAAAAGCCCTGGTAGAATCATTAGAATAAAAATGTTTAATAACAATCACTCAAAACATTTTCAAAATGTATGCTTCTCCATTCTCCCAAGGAGAAGCAAAATGCTCCTTCATGGAATAAATAAAAGGTGACCTTAGTAAATTCAAATAAGCAAATAGTTAATAATGAAAATTAATCAAAATTAGTGTTATAACAATTATATTTTATAAAGTTTATTTAAAGTTGCGCATTTTTATGTGACGTCACATTTGTCAAACGCCCCCCTCCCCCCCTCGTCACACATCGTCACAAATGTCTGACCCCCCCCCCCCCCCCCTCTAGGTGCGTGACGTCATTTATGGACGGCCCCATACACGAAAAAAGTCTCCTTACGGTCTCGCGATGGGACGATCCATTTAGAACGCCTTGCACACGAGCTTGATGTATGGGGCGCGTGCCCCTCCTTGTTGGCTCATAAGCGTGTGCTGAATATTGATGGCCAGTGCCTTAATCGATGTTGGTAGTTCAGTGGCACGGTTGGCACCGGGGGTTAGCGCAGCCACTGCGTTTTGAACTCGACCGCCCGATTATCGATACCCGGTCACGGATAACGTCAGTGGCGAGCGACACCTGCAAAAGTATTAACCACCACCTCCCACCAACCCCATGGTGCCCCCCCCCCCCCGCCCCAAGCAGCATGGTGAAGTACCACCATGATCCATACGATGTGTGGAGACGTTCACTTCAACAGTGGATTGCTAAAAGGCTGGTTCATTGTCATTAATAACAAATACGTTTTGCTTTATCCACACACACAAATATATCCAAGTACACAATGGCATGCAGCATTCGCCGTCAGCGCGAGGCTACGCACGCGCGTGCGATCCGCATGATTGATACAGATGAGTATTGCGCGCGTCTGTAATCAGCGGTTCTGCAATTAACACAATGGATCGCAATTACCGCTGAAGTGTTCATAAAAATACCCTGAGACTAATTGGACCAAATGCCTGGGAGGAGGCAAGTTTGAGCGAGCGTGTTTTGACCTCCACCGCTGTCTGCGACGTTTGTTTTGCAGTGAAACTTCAAATTATTTCTCGGTGAACAGATTGGAGAGGAGACAACTGACCTCGTGAACAATTGCCACCCGGAATGCGCCCGATCGGGTCACATTTCGGAAGCTAGGGTAAGGGGGCCGTCCATAAATGACGTCACGCACCTGGGGGAGGGGGGGAGGGGGTCAGACATTTGTGACGATGTGTGACGAGGAGGGGGAGGGTTTGAGGAATATGACGTCACGTAAAAATGCGCAACTTTAAATATATACAACACGTTCTACTTGTTAATTAAATAGACTTTTTAATAAATGTTTTCTCCTACAACATCAGAGTGTAGCGCCACATTAAATACGCACTACAATGACAATAGTTTAAAGCGATTTGAAGCATGTTTTATTTGGGGGGGGGCGGGGCAGAGCTTTGTGACGTCATATTTGAGAGGGGGGGGTCTGACTTTTTGTGACGCCGTGTGACGAAGGGAGGGGGGGGTCAAGAATCGTCCAAAATCGCGTGACGTCATTTATGGACGGCCCCAAAGGTTGAGCTCGGACGACAGTTTGGATGGGCGACCGAGGCCGCCACCGTGAACATGTATGTTGAGCTTCTTTCGCACCGTACGTAGCCGACCGTACTAATCAGAGGGCAGCTGTTGTAGGCGGATTTTCGGGGAGGGGTGGGGGGCGGGGGCAACGTTGTTTTTCGTAGCAGGAAGGAGGCAGTGCGGCAAACGCTATTGTTGTACAGGTACTGACTGTGCTTCTATTCACCGAATGCTACCGCGCTCCCCGCCTTCACCAACCCGTAATGACCAAGCTTCACCTTATAGTCAAATACTGTCATACCGCACGAGCTGTGGAATTCGTGGGGGGGGGGAGGCCCTCATCCAGCAGTGGATTGACAATAGGGCTGTTCATGCGCACTGGGCGTTATTCCAACGAGCTGCTTTTACGTTCCGATACGATTTCTCTGCCGTCTGCAACGAAATTAATCAGTGAGATTTCAAACGTAGCGCGTCTCTGTGGGCTCCAGCTAACTGTAATTTGGGGGAAATTAGGTCACCCTGGGGTTTTAATTTCAGTCGGAGCTGCCCGGGGCTAAGCTCTGGAAAGTATCCCCCACCCCCCCTACCTCGCCGCCCATCCTCCACTGTCGAGTGGAGGGCGTCCGCACAGCGCACTGCAACAATAATTCGAAAGATATTTCATTTTTCATTATAATAATCTGACAGGTGTGTATATATGCACACACTGTACAGCGTATATCTCGTACGCAGCCGGATAGATCTGCCAATTGTTGCTCTCTGTGTCTCACCACAGACGTTACGAATAATCATCATATCATCATCACAAGAAGCCAGTCAACTGTTGGATGGTCTCCCTCAGCCGTCGCAAACCGTCGCGATCATGCGATGTTAATAATTCACCTAGCACCTGTGCATGAGCTAACTGCTGAAACAAATAATTATAAAAATACAAATGTAAGGGTACGATTTACGAACTGGCCGCTAATGTCATCCATAATACAAGTGTTTTGGGTGAGAAGGGCTCACAAGTGATGCCATCACATCTACCCCTCTATTTAACGAACGAAACAGGAGGCTTTATCCACAAATCTGGCTGTCGCCTGATCAATCTAGTTGTAATTACTGGCGAAACGTCATACCTAGATTGTAAATGTTGTAGTTTTGCTCTCCAACACTCCGGTGTGCTGTACTTGTAACAAATTGGCACGTTCTGTTTGCGTGAACAAACCTTACTAAATTGGCTGTCGGGTGGTGGCGGGTTTAACGACACATTTATATATTTACACGATCTAACAAAAAAACTGTATTATGGCCGATAATGACAGTATATATTTGCAGTGATGGTGATCGGTAGCACAGCAGTTATTTCGCTCTTTTATGAGCCTGACAATCCGAGTTCGATTCCAGGCCACGGCTAACATCAGTGGAAGAGTGATGTCTGAATCGGTCTATGACTCCCTCCCCCTCTCTGCCCCCTTCGTCAACCCACTCAGACCGGCGTGGTAAAGTCAAACGACCCCCAAGATCCAGCAGTGGACTGACAAAGAGCTGTGAATAAAAGTAATTTATGATGGTTTTTTGGGTCAGATCACAAAAGTAAAATGTGTGTCGTACACCACTCTCCACCCGACCTGTGTGTGTTTTGTACAGCGCTTTGTGATCTCCAGGTGAAAGGCGTTTTAGCAGTGTAAATTATTATACAGTTGTCACGTGAACAAACGTGCCAATGTATTACCACTTCAACACAGCGGTATGTTGAAGAGCAATCCATAATTATGAATCGTAATATTGTTCGCAAAGCCTACGTGTTATATAATATGTATGTACACTTCGTAAAATAAGCAATGACATTGTAATGACCTTCCAACGCTTCGTTTTGCATGCATAGCATGCTTTTTTCCCCGTGAGAGCATAGCAAGAGTCACACGAGGCATGCAGCTGATGAGACGTTCACCCCAGCTGCGTGATTTCTGAGTTCATGCGGGCTTAATAGTTGATCCCCAGTGAGCATTTTGCGCATCCTAACAGTACATCAGATGGATCTCATGTGCGTGTTTGTGTGTCCGTCCCAGTGTGAAATAGACATTAATAGGTGGTGATCACCCACAGCACTTCCTCCAACAGGCTATATACGGGGATCTTTGTCTTTGTCACGGCGTGTGGAGGGGTCTCGTAGTGGTTAGCGCGCTGCGCTACAAACCCAGTGAACCACGAGATCGATTCCTGACCATGGCTATCATCATTAGCGGGTGACAATAAACCCGGTCCTGGGCTTCCATTAGAACGACTCATTTCTTTAAAACTGCCTTTTGTGTTTGAGTTTGTTGTCCTTCCCACGCACCTCCGTTTAGCACGGTTGGCTACGTACGGTGCGAAAGAAGTTCAACATACGCGCATACGACTCAGCCTTAAATCAATACCCTGGTGCGGTGTGTAAAAACATCAGGATCAAGTAAACATCAAAGTCGGTCAGGCGTGGTCTAACCAACACCGCTGCCCTCGTGTACCGTTCTTACCCGAATAGGTACACTCTCTAAGGACACTTGCCACTACAGCTTGTTGAAGGCTACACGAGGATCTGTCTCGTTGTCAGTGAGTGTTGACCCGTACTGAAGTGGAACGAACATTTAGGTTTTTTTTTCCGCCCTACGATGTCGATCTCAGTTGAATCGCCCCGTGGGTTTCTCGAGAAAGATGTCTGAGAGTCGTGAAATATTGCAGGTGAAATTAAATGTCAAAACCTTCACCATCTGGCTGATGTTGTCTTTACACTACAGCGTGCACGCGCCTGTGGCCAAGCACGGGCTACTTTCCGTGGAATTTTCATAGAAATTTAAGTTCCGTGTTTCTTGAAATTTCCGCCAAAGCAAATAGTGTTGGCGACGTAACTATTAATTTTATTTTAAAAAACCCCACACACAATCGAGGTCTGAGCGAAGACCCCGGGGCGGGCACGGGACACGCCGGGCGGAACTACGTCGCTCGGTATGGCCTGGGAACGCCTGGGAATTCCCCAGGAAGAGCTAGAGTCTGTATATAGTAGTGTAGTGTATAGTAGTGTAGTGTATAGTAGTGTAAAGTGTATAGTAATGTCGAGCTAGAGTCTGTTGCCAGGGAAAAGGGAGGTCTGGACCGCCACTTCTCAACACGCTGCAGTCGCAACCCTCACCAGGGCAAGCGGACTGAGAAACGAACGAATGAGGTCTCCAGCAATTCCACTCCTCGCCCAGGAAAAGTGCAACGTTGACCAACGTTGCGTGTGGACTGGGTTAATGACTTACCCTATGCATCGTTACCTTCACGCGTTATGTACGTATAATAGTGTGTCCTCAAAACACCGTGCTAATCCAGGGTGCCAATTTCCAGCTTGTAATGTTATTTGGCTGCTTGACGTTTTCACCATTGGGCTTAGCCCAGTAACTGTGGCAAAAAAAAATAATTGCCGTATTTATTTGAACGTTATATCAATGTATTGTAAATGCATATTGTCACATCAATATCAAATGAAGGTTATATACATACACCAACCATTAAACCCCCACAACGAAATCCGTACGGTGCAAAATAAGTTCAGCACACGTACACCAAATATCACGAGCCAAAAATGAAAATAATAACCCAATGCTGCGGTCGTGTGTCCGTAGAATAACCGAACTAAAACTGGGAGCCTTGCCTGGCACGAGACGCTTATTGTGGCTGCGTGCGGATAAAAGCAAATGTCTTTATTGCTTTGCTGCGCTGTTCAGTTTGACGTTCGGAATTGTGACATTCTATCATTGAAAAATAGAGACACGTACGTTGTAGGGATCCCAGCAACCCTCTCTCCCGACATACATCCGCCCACGTTATTATTTTGAGGACACACACTGTACTCGTGATGAATTCAAACTGGTTGACGCGTGCGTGTCAGGCCAGCAGGTACCGCCACATTCCTCGAGGCCACTGAAAGTCATCAACCCCTGCAGGGGCTTGCAGCGATTGTTCTGGTTTGGTGGTGGGGTTTGTGACCCTGAAGCCCAGAGACGAGTCGACGCAGCAGAGGTTTTATTTTCGTTCGTCAAAAAGCCGTGTGACAGACACACAAGGCTCCTCGCAACTGCTCCCACTTTGTAGCCTCCTGCTGTCCGTCGCCTCTCCCCCGTCCCCACCAAAAGTTATTTAGCGATTTTTCTCAATTCAAGAAATGTTTTTAACTCGCATCAATTACACTCTTCGATAGCGCCGTTGGTTGCTGGCCGCTTGGCGGATTTGGGCAAACTGCCGCCTGTGTTGAGCATTCCACGATTAAAATAGAACTTTAAAAAAAAACACTCCCAACACACTCGCAAGCGGAGAGGCGTATCCGTGAGTGCCATCATCAGGGGAAACCGCGAGCATCCGACGGCACCGCGAACTGCGGCGATGGAGGCTCTCTGCGTTGGGCGACCCGTGCCAGAACATCTCAGCCGGGTGCCATGATCGGACCTCTCCGCCCCTCGCTGACGCTCCTCTTCGGCGTGAACGTCGGCTTCGGCCTGACCTACATCTTCCTGCTGGCCACGTCGAACCTCGACGTGGCCGTGACTCCCCGTGAGCCGGCGCGACGCGACGCTCTGCGGGAGCTCCGCGCGCGCGTCCGCGTCCTCTGCTGGGTCGTGACCTGCCCCCAGAACGTCGAGAGCAGGGCGCGACATCAGCGCGACACTTGGACCCGCGCCTGCGACCGCGTGCTCTTCCTGAGCTCCGTCGACGACGCGGAGTTCCCCGCCGTGGGGCTCGGCACCGAGGAAGGGCGCCAGCACCTCTACTGGAAGACGACCAGGGCGATCCTCTACCTCCGCGAGCATCACGTCGACGACGCCGACTGGTTCTTGAAGGCGGACGACGACACTTACGTGCTGGTGGACAACCTCCGCCTCTTGCTGAGCGGTCACTCGGCCCGAAGTCCCGTCTACTTTGGCCGTCGCTTCAAGGACCGACACAACAGGAGCTTCATGAGCGGTGGAGCCGGCTACGTGCTCAGCAGGGCCGCCCTCGTGCTGGCTGCAGACGGCTTCGGGTCAGGTCAATGCGGGCAGGTCAGCCTGGCCGAGGACGTGGCCATTGGGGCGTGCTTGGAGAAGGTCGGCGTGGCCTTTGGCGACTCGAGGGACTCGGCCGGCCGCGAGACCTTCCACCCGTTTGTGCCCGAAAAGCTCCTGGTGCGTGACTTCATCTCCAACAACTCTTGGTACTGGAGGTATTGCTACCACCGGGCCGTGAGAGGTCCCCAGTGCTGTTCGGACTACCCCGTGTCTTTCCATTACGTGAGGCCGAGCTACATGCACGTTCTCGAGTACCTGGTGCATCGCCTTCGGCCGTACGGCTACGCGTATCGCTACACGGCGGAGTTGCCCGACGATCCTGAAGACGTTTGACCGAACTCGAAAACGATGTCAAAAGCCGCGACGTTCAGTTCTGCAACGGCCCAGAGGACCATTTTTTTGTGTTTTGCTGACCAACAGAGCACGTTGAACAAACGGTTCTTGAAAACGTAGCACGGAGGACGGGGCGACACGTTTTTATTACACGATTTTTTTATTATTACACGCCTTTTTTATTATTAGACGCTTTCTATTAACTCCCTCTGTTGTTGTTGTTATATCCTCAAATCTTGTAACTCAATTTTAACCCACTTCCCAATGTAGTATCGACTGCAAACTTGGTATACTTATGTCATACTGATGACAATACTATATTCTATCATTAAAATAAAATATTTGAAACAATCTTTTTATATGTTATGTTTCGGCTTGGCTCTAATTGTCCACGCTCAACTAACGTTGGCTGTAAATCACCACGGTCCCCTTACGTTATGGCGAGCTTCGAGGCCACTTCCTGGAGTCGTGGAATTATTCCATTACTAGTAGGGTACATTTCATTAAAGCGTGTTTTTGTAAAAGTTTTATTTTTTAATATTACTTATTTGAAACACATTCGTACGATGTCGAAGTTAAGAAGGACCTGTGGCTATGGTGGGGGCAATGTTGAGTAGTAAATCGAGGTAGCAGGGGGGGGCATTCAATAGTATATGGGGGGGGGGGGCACCTCATGTGGTTTGTCATCCTGTCCAAATGCTGGGGGGGAGGGAGCAGCTGCGCCCCCCACTCCCTGTGAGCAATGGGCGTGCGTTGTACATTAACCAACAAGCAACATCTGCGTCGAGTCATTTAAACGCGGCACAAAAACAACTAAATATTATCACGTTTGTTGTTCAACCTACATGCTGTTTTTTAAATTATCAAGGACAGTTACTCGGAACGTTATCCTATTGTATGTTTAGTTGTAACGCATTAGCTAATACTGAACGTGGTGAGTTTAAACATCCATTTATGCTTATGCGTCACTGTCAACGCAGTCTCGTATTTTTTGGGGGGGATTTACTGAATTAAGATTGGGAGAGAGTCCGGGATTTTAAGACGAGACAACGGCGGGAAAGAAAACGAACGAGTGAACGGTGAAAGAGCTTCAACCAATGAGTTTGATTTCCACCACTCTAAGCACAGTAAGTGCCTATACCCAATGCAGTGTGGAGTGATGTGATGACCGTGAAGGTTTGAAACCACAATGTCTGACAGTGTGCAATTATGACAGATGTCGAGGTTTTATGAAAGGACCCAACAACGCTGTCATTCAGCAGTCGTGGTGATGACACAGCTTCATCATAATTGTAGTAACGATGTGCATGCATTTTCCCTCCCCCCGATTTTGGCCACATCGCGCACAAGCCAAACACTGTACACGGTGGCAAAGACTCATGTTTGTGGTGATGGTGGTATGTTTTTGGAAAATTAAAGACTTACCTTAAAGCGGATGAGATACTGAGTCCACGCGTTTCATATGCTCCGCTGTTGGTCGAGAATTCACCCCGATACGCCCAATAACACCAATCTCAGAAGCGAAGCTGACCTGAGGATGGTTGATAGTTTGATAGGAAACTGCCTGGAAATATCTGGTGGTATAGGACTGGGCGAAGAGGTAGCGAGATGGCAGCACGGAAATGTATTATTTAATCTGTGTATGGCTTGAGTGTTACACCCCTCGTTTGCGTGATGGGTTTCCTCGAGGTACTCCGGTTTCTTCTGGACCCTCCAGAAATGAGTTAATCGAGGCTTTCCTGGACAAGGGGCATTGCTATTACAATTATTAAATTAGTGGTTGACAAAATATTGACACTTCGCTCGTCTTATAGACGTGCCCTGCCGGCTGTGCGCGCTGTATTGCTTAAGTTACAATATAGCTTATGGAACTGTACTCGCTATTTACCAGTGTGGAATTAAGATTTAATTAGGTTATTAAATGGACTGATAAATAAATAGAACAGTAACTTTCCATTTAAACAAAAATACTGTTTCCATCCAAGGGTGGGAAATCAGGTCCTTCAGCAGTGAGCATGTAAAGTCAGGGGTTAACTTTCCTCTCACTATAGGCGCACGTAAGGTAATGCTGATTATATTGCGTGTTATTTTCTTACATTTTTACTGCATGCGTGTGCATTGACATAATTCCACTCTTCATTTGGTATGAAGCGAAGTGCTTATATATAGGTTTTCAGGTGTAACAATGAATGACAGTTAAGTTGGTAAAAATGGAAAACGCTAAAAATGTTGAGGCTAGCTTATTACACACCCAGAAATGATATGGCAAGCACGTACAATAGATAATTTCTGTATATTCTTACAAGAGCATTTTAACTGTAACATAGGCATTTTAAAATTAATCAATCTCATGCTTTTCCATACAGCACAATATTTTTTTCGAAATAGTGATGTATCAGTAGACAGCTGTTATGAATAATATTTCCGAGGGTCAAATGGGTTCAAACCACTGGGGTGTTGACACTGGTGAGCTCCGCTGTGTTGGGTGGATGACGGACAAATTATCTGCTGTTGAATTGGTAGTGACTGAAGATCCAACCTAAGACGAATGGCCATGATCAATCCACTGCTGGATGCTCAAGTTCCTATACACTACCATTGTAATTAGTTTTGGATATATTACCAATTATGAATACCCCTTTATAAACCACTACCAACTGAAGGCATCTCCATGCCTCTCAGTCATGAGGGTTCCTTGAACACACTTTACCACACTGGTCAGTGCAGGTTGGTGAAGGGGGTGCCCAGGACGAGTTCAGCTATCACTCACCGCTGGTGTTCGCCATGGCCACGAATAACTACTGCTTGTTATACAGAAAAAAGAATAATAGGAACACAAATGTTTACAATTGACTCATGAAAAAAAATACTTATTTCAGATTAAACATTTATTATATTTAGTGGGTATGGCTCCCTATAAATTACAATCACAAAATATAATTATATTTACAAACATGGCTGTATGACTAGATCTCAACATTGCCATAGTACACGGGCTTTAACACATCCAAGTGAACACGCAATATAACCTTGATAGCCTTTAAAAATCCACAGGTTTCTAACAAAAATGTTGTTTACAGCAGTGGTATTCAAGGAGTGCATTATCAAACCAATGTGCATTAGATGTTTGGCGGTTGGTGGATTGCATTTAAAAAGTAAAATAACTTACATACTGCCATAAATTACCATTTGAATGTTATATAGAGAAAGCAACAGTTTTTTTTTCATCACCGTTACTTAAAACTGCATTAAATACAAACAATGCATATTTTGCTATCACAGCACATCACAATTGTTTCTGTACATACTTTAACATTTTAAAACAAAATTCCTGTGCTTGACTACTGATGTACACATGATATTTGCACCGAGACAACATGGTTTTAAACCACTTCAAGAATCCCCAGGACTCGTGGCATTTTTTCACAAACTGCCAGGAAATGAAAACATTACGGAAAGTCACTACATGAATAACCAACACGGTGCATTTGGTTTGAACAGCAGGAGATAAAATTCAAAAAATATGTTTTAGATGTAAATCATTCAGCTTGTCTAGCAATCTTGTCCCAAGTTTGTAGGAAGGCTACTTTGCACCAATGTCAGAGCTATACCCTTTAAAAAATAAACTACTTAGACTTCGAATTATCATCTTCTTCTGATGACACACCCTTGGATTCCAGCTCAAAGTTCTGCAGAAGAAATGACAATACAATAAAGGAAATCGCATCGATTCATAAGCTGATTTTTCTGGTCAGGCAAGTGCAATGCCAATGGGTGTCGTACATCATCCAGCCACCTAACATAGCCAAATAAATAAAGTTGTCACGTGAACAAACACACCATTTGTTTTTGCTTCAGCACTCCTGTATGTTGAAGAGCAATCCACAACATTTAACAATTAAGCTAAATTCAACACCTAATTGTTAAATGTTGTGGTTTGTTCTTAAATCTTTTTAATTCATAATATTGGTTGTGAATACCTACGAGTTAAAAAAAAATGCAATTGCTGATGTGTCAGTTGTCCTCAATTTAACCAAATGCAGAAAATCAAAGTGCCTTCATCACTTTTCTAAAGTTGTTATCCAGTTAATGACATAGCACAGCAATTGAGATTCGAGTCAACTTTCATTCGGATGCGGCTGTCATGCGGCTGTCGTATTAATTGACTGATGTGGGTCACACAGGGCACTTGTGCAGGTGTTAAGGTTCATTTGATGCTTGTTTTCAGGAAATAACGGTTTAAAGAACAGCATCTGGATACAGTGTAGTGTTGGCAAAAATCTGTAGAACATAACATTTGTGTTAATTATGGCTAGGGTAATGGATTTCAAAACCCAACCCCTTTTAATACTCTGAATATAATAAACCTAACCCTATTCTTTTATGCCACATTTAAATTTAGTATCAAAAACACTGTCTGATATATAACACTTATATGAGTCGGCTAAGCTGCTACTGTATTTGAAAAAATGATTACATTCTAGATTTTTACCAGCAAAGGCATATGGCACACACATGTAACACGTGCCCCCTACTGACAAAATTGGTACATTATGCTTTCAAACCTCATTTCAAGTCTATTCCACCTCTTATACAAAACATTAACCCCAGGGACCTGTGCTATTTTTTCACGATTGTGAATAGACATTTTAAAAACGGGGAAAAAAATAGTCACTTAACCTTTACACATATGAAAACAGGACCTTTAGTAACAAGGGATGGGCTACGCATTTGTTCGTATGCAGTGTAACTTCGAGCTTACAGTGATTTCACAGAAGCGGTGATATAAGTGGATATTTGTTTAGTTGCATCATTCAGGTTAACCATTGAAACGTTACGAGTGGTCCTCCAGCCTCACCTCAAGCTCCCTCATGACCTCATCCATGAAGTCCTTGCTGTTCTGTTTATACGAGACGGCCAGCTTAATGGCATCACGGAACAACTGAACACACAAAAACACAACTCATGCAGTGAGTGGCACACTAAACAGCACTACAAAAAGTCATAAATGTGCATGCTTTTCTTGACATGAAAGTTACATTAAGTTGGTCTAGAAGCATTCTAATTCAAGATCAAATGTTTGAAATACACATGCCTTACCTTCACTACATTGGTTCCATCCGCTGCAGAAACAAAGTAAAATGGCAACCCCTGCTTTTTGGCAAAGTTGAAATTCTTCTGCGTGACTTTATAATCGGCTGCACGGGACAAAATTATAAAGATGACATATCACCACGCTGCAGACGATAGAAAGCTCAAAAC